ACGGACAGTCCTGCAGAGGCCACTTTGTCTGATGCAAACAGGAAAAAAAGAAAAAGAAACCAAAACCACCTCTAGGCTCGGCACCCCCAGATAAGGAGTGTTAGTACTTTGATTCTGTCCCCTCGCTCAGCAAGCACTGCATGCAGGTCCCTGGGTCGGCACCTGCCCTGACCCAGACACAGCACACTGCAGCGAGGGCCCTGGGGACAGCGGCTACAGAGCCGGCTCCACCAGACCCCACATAGGACTGACCTTCCTCCTAGTTTGGCCCCTCTTCTAAGGGGCTGATCTCACGGGGCTGGTGCCGTGAACAAGCCAGTGCACATACCATACTCGCAGGGCACGTGACACAGAGTATGAGCTCAGAAAATGTCAGTCTCACCAGCAGAAGTGGGCACCAAACACCCACATGTAAGTGACAGTTATGTTGTAGACTAAGGAATGCGATAGAGTGGCCACAATGGAAGTTTCAAAGTACACCATTCAACTACTTATGAAAATTTCTACATTATCTATAATATAAATTCTATATTAAGTTTTTAATATAATCAGAAAACAATCAGAAATTTGTCCAGAAACTGTCAAAATATTCCAAAGAATGCAGGAAAATGGAGATTATTTTTGAAGAGGCCAAACTTTCATAAAACAGGCAAATCCACTGATGTGCTCGTAAGGTCTGTATCTCAGAGAGACTCACACAAGCCAGAGAAGCAAGAGGAAAGGCATGTGACTGAGGAACCTCTGGAGGGAGCGAAGGGTCAGCTGGTTGGGGATTTGCTCATTCTCTCAAATACTTATCGAGTGATAGGATCTAAAACACTCTGGGGAAGTGGGAGGTTGCCAAGGCTGTCCAGCTCCCCATTTCTCCAGGCACGAGTGGGAGCAGGATCTCCCCAGGAGTGTCCTTGAGAGGCACAAAGGACCCCCAGGGTGACCAAGCTGAAGCATCCATTCTCATACCACAGGGGACACACCCTTCAACCAGGTCTGGGAGGGTAAACACGGGGAAAACACAAAAAAGAAATGGTGACAAGTGAGCAAGAGCACAGGGTCTCGCCGCTGTGCGTCCGAATCAGGACACGGGGATGAGATGGTGAGTCCTCCCACCAGGCAGGGACAGCAGGGACCAGTGAGGAGAGACAGTGGAGGTCAGTGTGGGAGGTGGAGCCCACACTTCCCTGGCTCGCAGTTCCTTCACAGCCGTAGGCGGTTAGGGGGACCCAGGGATGATATGGCCAGGCACCCTACCTCTAACCGTGCTTCCAGAGGGAGGAGGACAGACAGACAAGGTGCTCACAGCTGGCAGGCACCATCACAGGTACACAGGGACAGGGACCACCCTCCTGAAGGTGTGGGGTGGGGAGACTGGGAGGAAGCAACAGCAGGGGGACAACAGTCACACTCAGGACAAGAGCCCCCATCTCCGGCTGAGACACATTCCTAGGCATCTCCCTGAAAGCACTGTGGGAAAAAAGAAGGAACACAAGACCAAGAAATCCAAGTTATCCACCAGAGATACAGACACTAAACTGAAGGAGACTGGGGGACAGCCAGAGCCCAAAGACCAGCTCCTGAAACCCAGTTTCCCATCTGGTCCTGCAGAGATCCTGGAAATATGAGGAAAAGGTCATTATACCCTCTCGTGGGTTGTGTATGCACGGTTTGCTTTTGGCTTCCTTCCAAGTCTGCTGTAAGATACAACCATGAAAAACACTCTGTATTTGTACAACTGATGTATGTTATGTAAACCGACCCCTTTAAACTAAGTCTACCATGAGAGCATCTTTTACAACTTAGCATTAGAGAAAATCTTGTCCTCCCTGAAAAATGTGCATGCAGTGTGCCCCCATCAGGGCTTGTGTTTCATGGTTTTGTGATTTGCCTGCCAGGAAACTCAGACTCAGAGTTGATGTCAAAGGACTAGAATAACCCTTGTGCTTACCGTATTCCTTTGCTCTGATTGTTTGTTTCTCTTTTATATTTCTGCCTTGTCCTTCTGTGGTTAAGCTGAGCCAAAATGCTGTTTGGAAAGTGGTGGCAAACCATATGTAAACAAGTAAAAAAACACTAGAAATAACAAACACCTAAGTTTTATAGGAAGTCAGCAAATGGCTTGATTATGCCCAGTGCAGGACGGCTCAAACTGGACCCTGAATTTATTTCTTCCTGATCATACTGGTGGACACATAGTGATTATTTACCACGTGCTCTGTTCTGCCTTAGTCATCAACTAATGTAATCCTCCTGACAACACTGTTGCATTAACATTCCATCCATTCCTCGCTTAGAGATGAGAGGACTAAACCATAATGAGGGCAAACAGACCGCCAGAGCCATCCAGCCACCCAAGCCAGGTAACTCCAGAACCCTCCCTCCCGACCGCTACCCACACGGCCAGTATAAAGCTGCTGGCTGGCATCATGCGAGAATCTTAGGGCAAATTTCCATGAAGCGTTAAGATGATCACTTTATGTTGCCTGGCTTAGAATACATCCTCCATGGGCTCTAGGAGATCGTTTCAGTATTTTTTCTCTTTTGTGCAGAGCATAGCACATATTTCAAAGACAATGACCACTGAGATTCACAAAGTTACTTTAAAAATTTTTTGCTGTAACTAGCATGGGCTGGTTGCAAATGTTTATTCCTTTTTAGCAACAAATGTCACCCCACAATGAGAGCTGTAAGAGGAAATTTTTAGGGAAATAAAAGCCCTTACATCCCATATGGTGGCTGGACAGAAACCACTTCAAAGAGGGATTTCTTGGTTTGACAAATACAGAACTGGAAATGAAGTGGAAGTGACAATTTCAGGTCCAACTTGACATCAATGAAGTTGCAGGACCAGAAGTCTCCATCCCTGCTGCCCACCCACGGCCAGATCGTGCTGCCCTGGGTACCGGTTTCCTTTCCAGACTGGCTGCCCCGCCCCAGCCCCGGAGGCTGTGCAGTGATGGTCCCACATCCTTTAGATTTACTTCCTAAACTTCCCTCAAAGCAGGTACCCTTCTTGGCTACAAACAAATCCCATGTTCCTCATGGAGGCACTTACTCCTGGGAGAGAGGTGGGGTCCTGACTTCCTGAGCCCATCAGCCCACCAGGAGCCATCCTCAAGCAGACAGTGAGTCCACCACTGCCAGATCCCGCAAGTGGGCCAGGCCGGCTCTCCAGAGAAGTCACCGTGCAGCTGTCCTGGAAGGCCAGATGGCACAGGCCACAGAAGCTGTCCTCATCGGACTGGTGAGCTGAACTCCTATGGAGATGCTCCAAGGAAGGCAGAGCCTTCAAGAACACACACAGTCCAGCCCAGCATGGGGAACCGTCAGCGCCAAATCCGGAGACGTGTTCCCTAAGTCACCCAACTGAAGCTCCTCGTGGCAAGTGTGGGAACTGCCAGAAATGGGCGCTCCCCCCGATAGTGGGCTGAGAGTGAGGGACCCCTTGAAGGGCTGCCTGACCAAGGCTCTTACCACAGGTGTGGCCAGCGCACAAACCACACAGAAAAAAGCAGAGCTGGCTCTGCACGTGGACATCCCCTGCCTTTCTCCCAGGAGGGCCACGTCAGCTTAGACCTGCTGTTTGCAGCTACTGTTAAGCCCTGGAAGGGGCTCATGCCATAAACATAACGGCCCTTCTAACAGTGGTGCAGGAGTTAAAGAGGAGTCTGCAGCCCTGCACCCCCACCATCCACCCCGAGGCTCACAGCTTAGCTCCCAGAAACCAGCACGTTTGTTGCAAATAAACCTGAAATCACCAGAGTTCATTTAGGCATGAGTGTTACAAAAGTCACGTCAGGATGGTTTAAAAGGCAGAGTAAGACTCCGACTCCTTGGCAACATTTCATGCTTCCTCCATCATGGGAGAACTTTTCCCAACACAATTTTCCTGTCACTGTATGTTTTCTACTCCACTTTGTCCTCAGACCCTGTCTTCAGTATTTAGCAAAGTAAAAAGAAAATTCAGTTAGTCTTGTTTTTATAAAACAGTTTACTCTGACCTAACTTCCAACACAAACATAAAACAGTCATAGGTAGACCACTGCTCAATTTTAAGAGTAAATACTACACAAAACTAAATTCAGATAAGAATTAATTTCAAGAGAACACTTTACCTTGGTCTCAAAATCTGAGTCTTCATCTGATGAAGGCCACAAGTCATCAAGATCAGGTTTGTTGGGAAGCCCTTAGAGCAAAAATACACAACAGAAATGAGTGATTTTGTTTCTTTAACCAAACAAACAGAAAATCTCTGCTGAGGGACAAGAAAGCAGATTTGGGAGCCAGGCTGTCTGGCGGTCAAGTCACAGGTCAGCTACCTGTGACCTATGGAACCATGGGTCACAGTCAGTCAACCCCCCTGAACCAGAGTTGCCTAATGAGTGAAAAGTCAGCTGTAACAGC